AAAGACTTTTCTGTTTTAGTGGACCAGAAAAGGACCAGATCAGATCAGAGACCAGAAAAATCACTAGTGGAATTCCCCCAGGCTTTACTTTAGGGCTCCTCCTTTTCATTGACAAAACAATGCTGACAACACATAACTATGCATTACAATGTTACCAAAGGAGTATGTACCCATCAAGCTTATGATAAATGGATAGATCAACACATTGATGTTCAAAAATGTTCCTAAGCTGAATAAAAAAACAAAAAAACAAAAAAGAAAGTTTAAGCAGTTCTCTATGAGCAACAACTACAAGCTTGGTTTACACAGATGTAGAAAAAACAACGGCATTTTCTCCCTTGTGCTTATTAATGTTTTCAAATCTGCCAAGTCTATGTCATCATTTTAGAGAAAATATTACAATTCTGTTGTGTCCATGGCCAAAACAACATAAAACAGAACATATTGTAAGATTACTAGGTAACAGTAAATAGGGTGTGTTTATGATGCAGCAGGGTTACCAGAATAATGTGGTTAACTTCCATTCCCAGGTTTACAAACTCCCTCACTGAGCCTCCTCTGTTTTGACAGAGTGATTGTAACTGTGTCATCATAACTTCTGCTGGGCATGTCTCATTTGTTACCGTTACTAATGTAATCTAGGGTGGGAGTGAAATAGAGAGAGCCATGTCTGAGAGTTTGGGTGATTTCACTTTGTCCTGAGACACACTTAAACTGTTTGCTGAAGGTTGGACCTGACCTTGGCAAGTCTGTTTCAGCAAACTCTGCATCTTCTCTGGTATCAGTAAGGGGTTTGATGAATGCTGGATAAGTTTTCTAAATAGATGAATAGTTTAATAATGAAAACGTACAAGGTTGTTGTTCATCCACTGTAGAATAATATGAAAAACAAGTTTATTTCAAATTCTTAGGAAAACCTTGAAACCGACAGGAATAGAAGAAGCACTGCACTTTTTCAATATATTAACCTGATGCAATGCTTGAATAAATTGCTCCTTTATATGTATAAAGAAGGTAAATTAATTCAAACCTAGAGACAGAACCCTGTTTTTTCTCCATTGTAAGGGATCCATCCTGTTCTTGCACCATTTCTTCAACTACTTATCAAGCTCTCATTTGACCATGACTCAAATACACCCTTTTGAGTAAAGCCACATATCTGTATTAATAGAACAACATTTTAGCAGTAAGATTGGTTGTATCCACGTCTGAAAACATGTTTAATAAGGTAAATTGATATTTGTAAAATTTTAGCAGTTTCAAGAAAGTTCTTTGTAACATCTTATGTTGTTGCTCTTTGCAACACAACAGGATAAAGTAGCAAAACTCTGGAAATCACTTGAACTTGGGTTTGTAGAGGTCAAAAATGTACCTGTTTTCCTTTTAATGATGTATACCGAGTAGTCTAGTTGTAAAAAAAAAAAAGAAGAAGGGGGATGGTGGATTATTTTTATTTATTTTTTTTTTGGAGGCATACATAGCCTAATTAATATAGTATATCAACCTAAATAACCATGCATGGTATGGTTGTTACATATCAGTATGCCTGTCATTGACCTTGACCAAGGAACCATACAGTAGAACTGCAGTCAGTCCCTGGACTGGCATGGCTATCACTGCCCCTACATAGTTAGGTACAATTTTCCCACTGGGATCAGCTTCACGGTCATGATAAGCCCCATCTTTGATTTTATTTATCTTTATCTTTATCAGGCTATTCGTAAGCCCACAGCCCACCAAATATTGAAAGGGCAATATTATTGCCAGTACTGTTAATATATAGTAGAAATTTTACACATTTAGTAATAAAATGTCACAGTGGATGGTAAGGGGGGATGGTCATTTAAGAAGGTGGATGATTTTTAAGATTATTTTAAGAAGGGGGATGCCATAACCCCTCAACTCGAGTACTGTGCATATCATTGAGTTTGAGTTGTTCTCCGTTGTCCAGAATCCAAAGCTAAGGAACTAAACAGAGAACCATAATCCCATAATTTATCCATCCATTCATCGAGCTTGAAAGAGTTCAGACTGGGCAACTGGACATTGAGTATTTAGAAGACGTTTAGCTTCTCATCCAGGATGCTTCTTTAGTTCTAACTAGTGGTGGGGACCACTGAGATTAATATATTGTAGGTGTAGAAAGCTTAACGTCCAGTCATTTGAATCCATACTGTGGGGAATAAGAGCCTGTCAGGCCCTTTTAAACTATGTATCTCCAGCACTCTATCTCTGTGGTCTCAAACTCAACTTGAGGACTGCTGTCTTGATACATTTAAATGCAAAGCGGAATTAAATGGCTAAACTACCACAAGCACCAGTCAAGCTGATTAGCTCATAATAGAGTCATAACGACAACTGATATGGACACAGACCACAAAAAAAATTGATTAGCCTAGTGAATGTAAAGTCATCACATTGGATATGTTTAACTATCACGAATCCAGCAGAAGGAAGTATTTTTAGTGTCACACATAAAGGTGAGATGTTACGAAATACCTTCCACTTTCTCTGTAAACTCTTTCCTTCCTTCCTTTTTGTGTATGTATGTACTTTTGAAATGTTCTTATTTTGTTTTTTAGTATGTTGGCTCTGACACCATCCTAGAGAGAAATATCAGCTGTGTAGCTGCCGTCAACACCTTTTATTATAGATGTTGGGGGTCGGCCTGTTTTTCAGTGTATTCATGCTTCTCTGAATGTGACTGGCTGGATGTGCTCTATTAATCCTCTGACATGTGAGCTGGCTCGGAGCTCGTCTGCCTGACTGTGTGTTTCCTGGACAGGGCCACCTTTTACATTTCTGCTTCTGTCCCCTTGAACCCCAGTCGGCCTTGGCAGATGGCCACTGACACTGAGCCTGGTTTTGCTGGAGGTTTGTCTCTGTTAAAAGCCAGTTTTTCCTTTCCACAGACGCTACAAGCATGCTTAGTGTGAGGGACTAACTTTGAGTTAAAGACTTGATGCAATCAACTGGTTTTCCTTAGATATAAAACTATGAATCAATTTGACTGTATGATCTGGTGAACTGTAAAGTGCCTTGAGATGTTGTGTTGTGAAATGGCGCTCTAGAAATAAACTGAACTGAATGGAATTACGTTTATGTTTTCTGGTATTTTTACTCAGCCACTTGGGACTATAATTGTCATATGAATTTGGCTGTATAGATAAACTTGACTTTACATAACTAGAAGATATCAATACACTTTATTAGCAATTGGGGGGTAATCTGGCGTGAGATTTCATTTAAGGAAGTCCAAGCCAGGCTGCTAGTCATTTCAGTTGAAGGGAAAGTTGACAGACAAGCTTTTGAGCTGTGGCTGGACGAAAAACCTGGACAAGCAAAAAGAAGCAGACATTAAGTGGGCTCAGTGTAGCCGCTACTTCCTGATGACGCCTGAGTATCATCCTATTCTTATTGTATTATGTCCTGTTCTGTGCCTCCATCCAAGTAAGGTGCTTCTAGGACTGAAGCAAATAGAAACACAAAAGTTAATTTCTTAACTAGCTCTGTTTAATGTTATTTTTAGACTTAGAATTAGACAGATTTATATCGTCATTTTATATTCGTACACAAGTGTAAACATAAAGAAATTTTGTTTAGAACAGATCTCTAGATAATTTCATTTTTAAAGGGGAGCCTTGATAAGATAAGCAGCAGTGATTATAAAAAAAACTAAACAAAAAAAAAACATTGTGATATTAAGTCACTATATCTAGATATGGAATGAATGGATATCATTCATGTTTGCTTGGCAGCAGTGATGTCAGATGGATTTGGATAGGATCTTAGCATCCAAATGAGATTTATACCCATGTGGAAGAGGATCTGATACTGGAGCATTATGGGCCTGTTGCCTGGGCTTCACCTATCAGTTGTTGTTGAGCTGCTGCTACTGCCTCCAGCTCCTGAAGCACACGCTTCTCCTGGCTCAGGGGAGGAAGAGGACGATGATGATGATGCTGTGAGGGTGGTAGCCCCCTAGGTTGAAGAGGCTGACGTGGTCGAAGCAGCAGTGGTGCCATCGGCAGGTTTAGCAGCAACAGACGATGCTGGAGAAGGTGTGGAAGCTGGAGGGGTCCAAGAGGAGCAGGCTGGGGATGTTTCAGGATTTGTCAGGGAAGCATCTAGAGGCCCAAGGGGAGACCCAGGATATGCTGGAGGGACTATGTTTCTCCCCTGGCCTGGGAGCGCCTTGGGATTCCCCTGGAGGTGCTGGCCCAAGTGGCTGGGGAGAGGGACATCTGGGCCTCCCTACTGAAGCTGCTACCCTCACGACCTGACCCCCGATAAGAGGAAGAGGATGGATGGATGGATGGATGGATGGATGGATGGATGGATGGATGGATGGATGGATGGCATGTAGAGAGCTCTCCTCATTTTCACATGCAGACGGCTGTGCTTCCCTTCTAGATGCTGAAGAGTGCCTGGAACAGTCTAAGAAAACTTTCCATTCATGCAGAGCTCTTTGTTTCTATCGGCGCAGTACAGCATCAGCCCCCCCAGGCCATCAGCACCGTCCGGTACTGCTGCCAAGACCCTGGCAGAATGATGTCGCAGCAGTTGCATATCTCCTTTTTTAAAGTACGTTCAAGTCGTAGATTATCCAGTTTGTTTTGTCTTTAAAGCCTTCAGATAATAAATAATGATGTTGCTACATATGCGTCTGTCTGTGAGGAAGTGACCTCAGGGCACGAAAAGCTTAGTATGGTTTCAATGCACACACATTCATAGATACGTCACACTTCTGTGGAACTTCCTCTGGTTTTGGTGACTTATCAGTCAGCTTTAGCACTCATTTTGTGTGGGACTGAAGATCAGAGTGAAAAGCTAAGGCTGCCGTAAGGAGTCCTCTTTTGAATTATGCATTCTCAGACTTGCTTGGATTTTTTATTTTATTTTATTTGCTCTGCTTCATTTTATTTGCTATTTGTAACTGCAGCATGACCTTGTGAATGTTTACATTTTTGTTTCTGCTTTTGAACAGAGTTCATGCAAAGATGGAAAACACAACATATGATTATGAAAATGAAATCTTTGCACCATGCGACAAGAACGAAGCCAACAACCTGGGAGCCCAACTCTCCATCCTCTTCTACTTCATGTTCGTTTTCAGCCTACTTGGCAATGGGCTAGTCCTGGCTATCATTTATAAGTAAGTGCATACATTTTTTTTAAAGAAAAGAAAAAGACCAAGTTTGTTCAAATCTTTCACAAAAGTTACATCTATTCATGTACTGTTTTAAAAGTGGGCTAAGACTTCTTTTTGAGTTTTTGTTTCAGTAAAGCAATTTCAGCATTCTACATTTGGATGATTTCAAAAAATTAGAAATAAAAAAAAATGATAGAAATGCAGAAATAGTACTAGAATAAGAAACTATCAATATATCCACACTTAAAAAAGAAAAGAGAGTGATTCTGTGGTTTTTATTATTAACATGGGACAATTAAATTGTATTTAATGAACAAGAAACAATGTTGAAGCTGGAGATATGATAAGACATGGAGATGTTAGATTATTTCAGCCTGCACCCAGAAACTTGGGTATTGGCATGCTGATAAAACAACAAAATGCATCTGTCTAAAGTTTATACAACCAGTTTATTAATAATAAATTGATTGGTTGTTTTCATACCTTTTTTTATTAGTTGTTCTCTGTTTGATTGACATCACTTAAACCTGTTTTTATCATTACAGTATAAAATAGGTATTGTTTTGGGTCAATATTGGTATACGTCACTCTCAAAGGTGTATTGAAAATTAAAAATTTGGACCAAGAATCCCTGTTTGAAAACAACTGAAGATACGATTTTGATTCCAACATGATCCTGTCACGTTATACCGAATAGGTATGTGTGCTAATTAAAATTGGGGTTTTATAATTGCATTTAGCTGTACTTTATATTGTGTAGTGGATAATTTAAAAAAAGATACAAATAGACATGTTCACACTCTAATCATATTTCACTGGCCTTCTCTGAGCTTTCCCATGATGATGTCCCATTTCCCATGATAAGCAAAAGAACAGAGAGAATGTAAACCGCATCCAATTTACTCAGAAACATTTATGATTTTCCTACAATGTAGCTTAGCCTCTTTGATTTTTTAAGGATAGAAAAAAGTACCTTTGGTAGCGCAATTAAATTTTTATGGTGACTCGGGTTCAAGGACACAGAAGAAAAGATACAGAAATAAGCAGACATAGAAAAGGCAACTGTAAACCAGCTCCACAGGCGGCCCCATCCAGTAAACACAGCCAGGCAGACGAGCTCTGAGCCAGCTCCCATATCAGAGGATGAAGAGAGCACATCCAGCCAGTCACAGTCAGAGGACTACACTAAAAAACAGGCCGATCTCCAACATCTATAAACAAAGTTGTTGATGGCAGCACCACAGCTCTCTCCAGGATGGTCTGTTGTTATAATAGAAGATCACACCTTGAGATTAAAAACTGTCATGATGGGTCTCTGTGATTAAACCCACATGCAGAACACCACAGGAAACAGAGTAAAAGTTTAACAGTTTATTTAGATAGACACACACAGAGTAAATGATTGCACTGGTTCTGGTACTGGTCCGGGACTTGTTTCACAGAGTAATCTGCAGAGAGGGATTGTTTGGTTAGCCAGGTAGCAGTGATGTCTTGACGGAGTTTTGATTCTGATTTGTACCTGATGAGGTTCAGACTGATCGGTGGAGAGAGGGAACCGGTTGGGTCCAGAGACTGTGGATTCAGCAGAGAGCTCAGCAGCGGCAGAGCTTAGCTTCAGGCTAGCGAGGTTAAGACCCTGAGTTGTTCTCCTAGTTCTCTCCTGAGAACTGACTGGGAGATTCAGACTGAGGATCTTCAGGTTTGGCTTCTCTGGGCAGGCAGGCAGGTTTCCAAACATGAGCTCCTCCAGAGCTACAGACTTCAGTCGGGTTTTCCTATGACCAGAGAAGACAGAGACTGGTTAGGATCAGGGTTACTCTCCAGAGCAGACAGAGATTCTTAATTCAGGCTGAGGCTCAGGTTCTGCTAACCAAAACTGGTCAACACTCCGGCGCTGAAGAGAAGTCAAGCCGCTGCTTATATAGTTGGTCTCCTGATCAGATGAATCAGCCTCAGGTGTGCAGGTGGCTTCAGCTCAGGACACCCAGGGCGCTCTCTGCTGGAGAAAGGTGGCAGATCTCCAGATCCCAACAAAAACTTAAAATAAGAAAACATGTCCTACCAATCATTGGTTTTAGTATCTGAATGCATGATATGACTTGATTTTGTATCAAATCTACTTGAGAAAAGGTATAATATCTACGAAAGAGTGCTCTAGAAAGAATAACTTAAATACTATTATCTTAATAAGCAAGGGTCTTGATAAGTGAAAATATCTAATATCTGAACTTCTAAGAACAGTATTCTTAATTCAAGTCTGGTTCACTTGTGTAGGAAATACATTTTTGTAGTGCAGCCACAAACGGACAACAGTTGACATGATCCGCAGTAACAGGTCCACACACGAGAAGGAGAGAATCTACAGGAGCATAAAAAGGAAAAAGGCAAAGAAGGAGCATGAACTCATGGTTGTGAAATATTGGGGGCCTCATGGTATTGAATCTGTAGAAATCTTTTTTTTTTAAAGCATGTAGTTTACATATGTGTGTTTGAATAAAGTGTTTTAAATAAAAATTTTAATGAGTAGTTTTTACCTCTGTGGTATCAAATAGGCATACCAACAGAGGTACATGAACTTAAATGAAAAAAAATAAGAAATAGTTTTACTTTCGATAGGTTTTACTTTTACTCAAGTAATATTCTTTAGAGAGTATCGCTACTTGTATTATAGAAAAATTTCAGGTCACTTCCCACTACGTTGAGTAATTTAAGTTATTGTAATATACTGTATTCTGTAGATAGTTTAGCTGTAAGATCTTTATCCTTTCCTGATAAAATCCATTGCCTACTGTAAGGATTGGTTGATTTAGAAAATGTCTTTTTTATCTTTAGTTGTATTCATTTACACATAACTATCTTTATGATAAGATCAAATTAAGTAAGTAGGCCCAAAAACTGAACAGCTATTTAGCTACAATAAAAGGGAAAAATGTTATAAAAAAAATCAGGGAAAGAACAACAGAAATGACCATAAAATGACAAATTTGTGGCTTCTGACATATAGAGAATTTGTGGCTCAACAGAGGAGAGCGCTTCTCTGGGAGACCTGCAGGTCGATGTAATGAGGCTGTCATAGTAAAGAAACTCTGAGACTGTATAAGATCAGTCCTACCATTTAAACTTGTTATTTTCACTCCTACAGAGAGCAAAGTGCAGTAGGTAGTGAGGAGTGGGAGGGTTAAATCGTTCTAAACAAAAGTCCATAAAGTCTTAGTCTAAAGTCTGCTCAACCTCTTGTTTGCTCTACCTCAGTGAGAATAATCTGAAAATATTATTTATAGGCACAAAAGTTCATCTTAAATCAGAAATAGGAAAAAAAAATGTCTCAATGAAAAGTCAAACAAATTGGCAACATCAAAGAGATGTTGAGTGGCAAAGAATTGAAGAATTAATGCACAAGTTACACATCAGTGTAATTTAACATAGCCTGCATCTCAATGCTGGTGAAGATTCTCAGTCATCCAGGTTATAGTCATTCCAACAAAGTTGCATCTCGATCACTGAACTGCATATTAATGGCATTTCAGTCCCTAGATTTAACACCTCTGGAGTAAAGAGGACATTTCTTCTGGTTAGCTGGACTTTTTAATTCAATAATGTCTGGGCTACAATAAAGCTGGAAACTGATGCCAAAATTACATCAGATAAGTACAAGAAGTGATGAGTCTGAGTGAAATGATCCCCCATTGGTGCAGCTTTGGTGTGAAGTCTACCCCTCTCATCTATACTGTTACAGCAGAAAGGGAAAATGGAGAGATGAAGAATAATTAATCAGCTGCATCAGGGCACTGGACACTTGATGGTCAGCTCCACAGAGTGAATTCTTCCCAAGCCGCCTAACATCTCCAACAGGGTACACAAAGCTTTATATATTAAATATACAAAAACAGGTTAATCTCTGCAGTGTATGAGGACATTATACAAGATAAAAAAAATACAGAATTGTCAAAAAGGAGGAGTAATATAAAAATAGATAAATTGAAAATTATTCAATTGGTCAAGAGCATATTTTGACTGGTTTTTGGTTTTTAAGTTCCTTTATTGTGATTTTGTTTTTTTTGTTTTTTAAAAAGCCTTTTTCCATACACAGACAAGTTACACTGCATTTAATGGTCTCCAATCATTGAATTTGTTATCAATCACAGGGTATTTTTAAAACTGTGTATCTGCATGTAGGTTGAGTACTGTACCTTGACTATCAGGCTTGTTGTTGCCTCTGTTGTTGAGCCAGGATTGGCCTTAATGAACGGCTAAAGCCAGGATCCTCTGATCACCCTTTGTCATGGATTGCTTTAGCGCTTATCCTTAATTTCTAAATTCTCAACATGTGAAACAGCCCTCTTTGTTTATCTTCGCTGGTTTTGCAATATTTTATCTCTTCTTTTAAGCTGAACCTTACAATTATTTAATTGCAAAACTGTCACCGTTCCTTTTCCTTTGGTTAGTAATGCACATCTCCACATTTCTAAAACTGTTGCAAAACAGGAAGAACAGTAGAGTCATGCATGATTGTTGCTGTCTTGCAACTTTTGGTTGCATCTCTCCCCACCAATATCAGACAATCAAAATGCTGAAGAATCTTATTAATACTTCAGAAGGTTTTGCAAAGACTATTAATTTATAATAAAATACCACAGATACTTGAATGGACATTACTTTGTATGTTTGTACAGTGGACCAATACAATTGAAACTGCTTTGCTTGTAAGTAAGAAAATTACTATTGATTCATGCTTAGTACGGCCATTTATTAGGGTTAGTGGGATTGGTTACTGCACAGTGTTTTCACAGGTTTGTTGGTTACACAGCTGCAGCTGATCCAAAACTCTGCTGCCTGTGTTCTCACAAGAACTAAGAAAGTGGAGCAAAACAGCCCAGTTCTGAAGTCCTTCCACTGCTTTGTAGCTCAGAGAATTGACTTTAAAGTCCTTCTTTTTGTCTACAAACCACTGAAAAGATCAGCACATACATGACAGATTTGTTGTCAGTGTATCAACCTCCCAGACTCAGGTCTTCCATTTTCTTTTTTTGTTTTCAGCATTTTATTGTCATTACACTGTCACAAGTACAGAGCAACAAAATTCCTTCTCTGAAAGGGTCTTGCTTTAGGGGCCAATAGTGGCAGTTGGGCTTAAACTCAGAATGTCTAGATTCCAAACGCAATCCCCTAACCACTAGCCCAAGTTCAAGTAAACTCTGTTCACCCAGAACTAAAACCAAACATGGAGAAGCAGCATTTAGTTCCTCTTGTTCACTGACATGGAACAATTTCCCAGAAGACTGGAAAAGTGCTGAAAGCCTGAGTTTTTTAAATCAAAGTTTAAAACCCATAACTTGAGACCTGCCTTTTACTGTTGAAGTTAAACTGTTAACTGGGGTATTATTAGTTCAGGATTTGTTTTACTTCCTGTTTTTATCTTCTTTCGAATATTAACTTACTTTTTCTGGATTCTTTTCCTTTATTTTTTTATATTTTTCAAATCTAAAACAAACATTGTGGATGTCTAGAAACTAATTTCAAATCTGATATTTTATATTTGATTTTGACAATGAATAATATTTTAGTGATCCACAAATGGAGAAGAGAGCAGAGCACTACTAGTAAATGTCGAAACATCCTGCCATAGCAGACTTCATATAAAGTTACAGATTAACTTGAGCAGCAATCCTCTCTTATGACATCTCCCTCTTCTTTGCATGCAGTTACTCTTTGTTTTAAGCACATTCATACATTTCTTTTCTAATTCTTCATTAAAATATCTAGTTCAAGTGGTGTGAAATAGGCACTTTTTGTTTTCTGTTGAATCAGAACTCCATTGATAATGTGTTTTCATAGTTTTTACGCACATACTCGACTCCAAGTGAACCTACTCAGAGTTGATTAAACCAACTCAAACCAGCTGTCGTGAAACCAAAAACTAATTTTCCAACCTTACACCAGATTGGTTCAGATTTGAGTTTGTTATATGCACAGGCCTCCAAACCTCCAGGTCTGCTCCTTATTTGGGGGATTCCAGGAGATACCTCTGCTTTCTGCTTAGCACTGCTTTCTGTGGTGCTTCTGTCCATATGTTTGACATATTGCCTTGCTCTTATCCAACACCATTGCCAACTATGTAGCAACTTTTAGACCCCTACAGAGAAGTTTGTTTAAAATTTACGGGCTTCAAATCTAGCAACTTTTGGCTGTGATGATTGAGACTTTGGTGACAACAATGAAAGCCCTGTTTTCTCTTAGTTGACCATCTTTAGCAAGCAGCAAGTGCTGCTGTTAGCCTTGCCAATTGGAAAGCACTGACAGGCGGTCAGCCTCAGCAGTCTTGCTGTGCAACAAACTCTGCCTGCAGTCAGAGCAGAGACTCCACTCTGTTTCTCCATTGAACATAATTCTGGAACGAGGAAAACTTCCACTGATTTTACCCCAGCTTATGTGGCACCAGAGAGGTGCGATCATCCAACAAAAACCCATAAAGCAAAACAAACTGCGGCGATTGTGAGCAGAGCTTTAAAAATTTTAATAGTTTAAAAGTTAAATAAAAAAAAAAAAAAAAGCACAGTGCACTAAAAAAATAAAAGGAAAAAGATAAAAAAAAAAAAGATAGATAAAAATGCAGGTGGTTAAGGTAGCGGAGTCAATGGGTCAATGGCACGGTCCATTAAAAGATGAGCCCTTGGCGGGCACGATGGAGGGCACGGTCCACCCCAGCGTTGGGTCCTCCTTCCGGCACGCTGCCCGTGTGGGCCTCCCCAGCGTAGCTGGCCTTAGTGAGGTCACCTCCAACACGCGCCTCTTTCCAGCAATGACTGTGCGCGCCGCGCTCCGTGCGCGCCTCTTTGCCTCTCTCTCCGTTGCGTACCTCGCTCCGGTGTACGCCTCGGTGCCTCACTCGGCTGCGCTCGCTCCAGCATGCTCCCCTGCTCCCTCCAGCGCGCGCTGCGGCAACCAGTCTTTAAAACATGCGCTGCTTCCTGCTCCCCCGCTCTGTCCGGCTCCCTCTATGATCGGTGCTTCGGCTTTCCATGTCCGGTGTCTCTCTCGAACCAAACAGCTGCCTTTTTACACCACTGTCTGTATGCTGCTCAGCTGATGGAGAACACCTGTGCTGTGGGCGTGTCCAGGTGTGAGTGGTAATGTGACCTCCAAACAAAATCAGAAAACACATGCAACACACAAAAATGACAATAACAAGTAAGTAAGTTCAAAAATAAAGAAAATCCAAAATTAGAAAATGACATGCAATCAACTCGACAAAAAAGGCCACATTACCACACTTACAAAGTAGGATGAAAGTATAATCTAAACTTAATCTCATACAAAATGCTGTTCTTTTGTCTGACACTGTTGCACCTAAATAGATCCCTCCCTGCATTTGATTAACTTACAGCTTCTGTTATTTATTCATCTCATCGGCTTTAGGGGCCTCTTCTTGGATATATTTGATAATATAACAACATTTATAAATGCAGTCTGGATTCATGTAAAATAATATTAAATAATCAAAATACTTTAATAGATTACATTTTATTTTTGTTGTTTTAAGCATATTTGCAGTCTTTTGTTAATCTCTGCCTTGCAAATGTTTATATTGCTCTCATACGTACGACATACACATACAACAAACCTTTTCATTATCTTTATGCATTTTATATTAAAACTTATTTTTATAAGGTTGGCATTTTATCATTGATATGAAAAACAATGTTTATTCTGTTTTTATTTTTTATTTCAAATGTTTTACCCCAAAATGTTCAAAAACACACTCATCAGTGCTCATTATTGATTTAGTGTTTTTCCCTTTTGTTAATTTTTTAAAAGTTGGTATCGATAGGTATTTTAATAAAAAACTGGATTGTATTTTTAGTTGATAAATCCATAATAATATCCATCCCTACCTTTCAGGTTTGAGAGGCTGACCACAGTGACCAGCATCTTGCTGCTGAACCTGGTGGCTTCCTCGCTGATCTTCATGAGCAGCCTTCCCTTTTGGGGCATTTATATGCAGAGGTCACGTTGGATTTTCGGCAATGCTATGTGCAAGATTGTCGGAAGCACTTACTCTATGGGCTTTTACAGTTCGGTTTTGTTTTTGACTCTGCTGACATTTGATCGACACCTTGCTGTGGTGTATTCGCTGCCTGCAGCACATCTGAGGAATCAGAAATATGCTGTCATTTCTTGTGCAGTGGTGTGGCTCTTGAGCGGTTTGTCATGTATTCGGCCGATGCTTATTCATGGAACTTTTAAATACATAGATGGTAACACCTACTGTGAAGAGACTTACAATGACAATATTGATTTGGAAAAGCTGATGAATGCTGGATTTTATATTCAGCTTATCATTTTCCTAATCCTCCCTCTGGCTGTTATTATCTATTGTTACATTAGGATTACTATCACAGTCGTTTCATCCAAAATAGGGACCAAATTCCAAACAGTCAGGCTGATTTTCATTATAGTACTCCTGTTTTTCATCTGCTGGACCCCTTTTAACATTGTGGAACTCATGGAATATAAGACCAAAGACTGTGAGACATTAAAGAAACTTACTTACACTCTTCAAATCACTCGTTTAATGGCGTACTTTTACTTTTGCATCAGTCCGATATTTTATACATTCGTAGGGAGAAAATTCCAGAACTACTTTCGACAGCTGCTGATAAAATACTTCCCAAGTTTGAAGAAGTACATTTCTGTTAATGAAATCAGCCGAACAAACATTTCTACAAAGATAACTTCGAACGATCTGATTAATGGTGGCCAGAACAGTTTATTAACAAGTCAGTCAGAATATGTGTGAAAAAAAACATCAATTAGATGGAAATCCAAAGAAATATCATGAGAAAGTCTATTAATGAAGGGAAATAAATGCTTAATGATTACTAATTACCAGAGCCAAAACTTCTTTAGATTTTAATAAATTAAATTGTTAAACTTCTAATTCTAATTAGAAAAAATAATCAGTGTACAGGTGTTAAAATCCAGAGATTCAGTTTTTTTGCTGAAGTAACACAAGCATAACACTGGCGAACATTGCCATAAAATAATACTTTCATCAGATTTACTCTTATTTATTTTGTATCTCTACCTTGCAACCAATACAATATGACCAGAAGCTAATCAGTCAATGTGAATTGAATTAGCATTTTCACGTTTCAGTATGTTTCATATATGATGTTATCCAGTATGTTATTATATGATACAATGAATGGTTTATTAAAAAAAAAATTGAACAAAAAAAATAAAAGCACAAGAGAAATAAATTAACAGATATAAGTTTAAAAAGGAGCAGGAAGAAGTATTCACTTATTTACTTCTACTCAGTTGTGTAATATAGTTTATTAATTTTAATGTATAATATTCTTCAATAAACCATCATTAAACCCCACATTCCATATTATGTATCTCTGCATGATTGACTTTATTATATATATATATATATGTGTCTCTTTAAAGAAGTATATATTAAAATTCAACAACACAATACTAAATAAAACAATGTAGGCCAATATACAATGTAAAGGAGCCCTAACTTGGTATTTTACTGGTATAATCCTTCAGAAACATTCCTCAGGAGGAATATAAACTATTTTTCCCACAATGCAGGTATGGTTTCACTAGGAGAAAATGTACTTTTTGGAAAGACATCAGTGTTTTAACTTCTCTACCCTCATTTTTGCAGCTTTTTTGTGTTTTTCTCATTTGCCTCCTTTTGTCCATTGGAACGAATTTTAACTTTTTATAGAACCAATTCATCTACATTTTACTTTAAGAGACAGATAAAAGTCGATACCCACTATGAATGCACAATGTAAATAGAACTGTTAGTATTTTGTGATAATAGTTTTAGATTTTCCTGTTAAATGTTTCTTTTTTAGAGCGAAAATTTATTGGGAATTTAAGAAATCTAAATTACAGTACATAAAGTTTGAATGTGGATCATAAAGTGAGATATTGTTTCTCTTTGTTGTAATTACCTTGTTTTTGGTGTAAAAATCTATTGTATTTTCTTAAACAATGTGTATTTTCAGTTGATACTGTGTTTATATCTTTTGCTTTTATCTTAGATCTGATAAGATGTTTAAGAATTAAATAAAAGTTAACTTCAAAACAGCTTGTCTTTGAATAGTCTTGATTTTGAAAATTATGAAACAGGACTGCCTGTGAAATAAAAACAAATTCACCTTAGCTTAGCGACAGCCTACATCACAGGGATGAGAGTGTAAAATGGATGGAGTTCGGCAACAGCTGCTATGTCATGGTTCTGCCCTTTGTGGACTTCTTTCTGAGCTTCTTTTTGAGTTTTAAGTTATTTATATAATTATGTTTTTTTTTTTGGTCTTTGGTTTCTTTTCCATTTTGTGTTAGCCTACATTTAAACAGTAATGCATTTTTTAAGTTACTCTATGTTGTGCCCTTGTGCCAGTCTCCTTTCCCCTAGCTCCCTTCTTGTTACTTCTATCCACACTTGCTCCATATCAGCTGATTGCCCATTCCTTGTTCTGTCTGCCATATATACATCTTTTTTACTTAGCTCCATGTGTGTTTTCCCCTGGCGACTCATGGTTTTGTTTTGTTGTGGACTGTTCCTGGATTTTATTTGCTTCTGCTGTCATCTGCTTTTCATTAAATCTGCACAAACTCAATGGCCTCCTACTGCTCTGTATTTGGGTCCTCAAATTACTTCCACCACACCTGACACGCAAATCCCTAGTTTAGCAAAGTTTAGGGTTAAACCATTTGCTCTATTGTTGTGGATTATGGAGTTAGCTAACATAAGTGTTGCAGTGCATTGTGGGATTTTGGTACATGGGAGCTACAGCAGAGACAGCTGCTGGCGGTTTCAATTAGTGGTCACCATCTTTGAAAATCTGCAGGTTTTGACCCATCAACTGGTAAGCTGAAGATTAGCTGTAAGAAATGTATCATTTTGAAATGCTTGACTGGATCACCTGTCTAGTTACAATGTTTCCTAATGCCCTCATTATCATGTCCGGAGACTTTAAGCATGTCACCATGAACAAAGTCCTGCCGACCTTCTAACAATATGTGAGCTGCCCTACCAGAAATGAGAGGACCCTGGACCTGATGAATGTTAACATTAAAGATGCACACATCTCCTCTCCCCCCTCTTGGCAGGTCAGATCACAACCTGGTTCATCTCAAACCTTGTTATGTGGCTCTAGTGAAGAGGAAGCCTACGACCACAAGAACTGTAAGGAGGTTGTCGGAGGTGGCTTGTGAGGCACTTCAGACCTGCTTTGAGGTGACTGACTGCCCTGCACTCTGTGAGCCCCACGGGGGAGGACATCGAAGGGCTCACAGACTGCATCACGAACTATATCAACTTCTGTGTGGACTGACTACTATAGCCACTAGGTGGCAGTCTGAGTCCATTTCGGCGTCCCTTTTCAGATGTAAATGCCCCATTAGCCCTGTGGCTAGAGAACAAATCCAACCCTTCAGTTTCGGTTTCAGCTAAAGTATCTCTCCTTGAGTGTTTTACCTGAGAGCAGGGGGGAAAAATCATATTTGTAATTAAATATAACTAGATCTACGTCATCAGTGTCGCCAACACCGCAATGATTTCAGCGCAGCCAGCCGCACAGCAATCAGACAATAACTGATCTGTACAATAAAAATAGCTGCATGAGCTGGAAAGCTGTAGAAAGCAACAATATTTATACAATAATGACCATTTATACGATAATGACCGTTATTTATTTGGGGGGAAATATAACTCTTCCACTGCAGACACGCAGCCAGCATCGCGAGACTGCAGTAAAGTTGGCAAAAATATTCACAGATTCGGCTTTTCCGGAATTATTCGAGAAATTATTTATTCTGCAAAACAGACACCAGAGCAAGGCAGACAGTGAGCTACAACCATAGTTTCCTAAAAACGAGTCTTTTATCGCGCTGGGAGAATTACATTTGATCCTATGGAGAGCACACTGATCCAAAAATTCTCTGTCTGCAGTTCGCAAAATAATCAGAGAGAAATATTCAAAAGGGTCACCAAGGAGAGGTGGGTTATTATCACATTCATTGGATTCGAAAAAAATACTTTTTTGAGGAATTTCCAAAAGCCTAAATGACAAATGGCACCTCTATTCTATTATTAGAATAGGTATAAAATGAGCAATGACTACACTATAGATCACTGTACTGCCTTCAAACTTGTAGGATAAACAGATAACCTCATCTGGATCATACTACAACTCTTACTTTGGGAAGATAGGCCAAACTTTATTTTTGGAGATTATTCATTGTTATTTTAAGCATATAATATTCAAAAATTACTTGTGACTTTGAAAGATTTATTTTGTCGTTTTGTATACACAAGTGTAAACAAAAAGACATTTCGTTTAGAACAGCTCTAGACAATTTCATATTTTAAAGTGCAGCCTTGAAAACAGTAATGAATACATAAAAAAATGGTAATATAAACATATGAATGTATATTTACAGTTCTAACATCCTTTTTTTTTCTTACTTTGGGAAGATAGGCCAAACTGTATTTTTGGGAATTAATTCATTGTTATTATAAGCATATAATAGCCAATAGTTACACTGTAGATCATTGTAGTGCCATCAAACTTGTAACACACATAGATAACCTCATCTAGTTCATACAACAACTCTTACTTTGGGAATATGTGCTAAACTCTATTTTTTCAGATTTTTTTTATTGTTATTATAAGCAGGCCAGGTGTGCAATCTCTGAAACAGGAACCACAGCACTGAGCGTTGTGTGCACTGCACAAAGTATACCTGTCGCAAATGCAGGAAGGACTCACCTTGGGTTTGTAAAAACTGGTAAATGGGACAATTGTAGCTTCATATGTAGTGCTTTTCCTTGGGTCAAATAAATGTTACTCCAGTACTGAAATCGTACTGTTTGTAATTTTCTAAGCTGAAATGTTGAATGACGTGAAAAGGCGAGACAAGAGAAGATACAATTATTCTCTAAGTTGTTCTTTCTTTCACATAGTGAGCTTTGCAACAATACAAATGAGTCTGTTGGTGAATGGACAATATAAATAGGCTCTTCCTTGCCTTGTTGGAAAAGCATGGTTATGAACTGTTCTCAGCTCAGGAACTAGGACCCGTATGATATCTGGTTGTTCAATAGGTTTGCCTTAATAAAAGATTTGGATATGACTTATCAAGTTATTCCTGCAAAAAGGTCTGATGTTGCAGGGGCAGGTAATGAAAAGTGCTTGGAGCATGCTCTGGTTCTGATGCCAGTTTGTCACAAGTTATTTGCATTACAACTAGGACACTTAGCAAGATAGAGTGAATACACAAACTTGAAGAGGGGAGGGGGGCTTGCAGGAAAACGGAAATTCTCCGCGACATCTAGTGTCGCGGAGAATTTCCGTCACTTGATGGCCTATGATATCAAAAATTCTACAATAACTTATTTAACTTATTTATATATTTTACGGATACTAGCCTATTGTGCTGTTTGACACGTAACATTTTATTTTATGGCGTCTTTCTTTTATTTAGATCAGCTGATGTGCGCTCCACCTTTCCAAGGAATTACATTAGATCATAGGGGCACATTATGCAAGAATGCTGCTTGCTGCCCCAATGAATAGTGGCGTTTCTAAGCTGTTGTCAGAGATGGCTGTGATCAATGCGCAAGTCAGTGAGCTAATCCGGAGTATTCCCATTTTAAATACAGTGAACCCTCGTTTATCGCGGAGGTTACGTTCCAAAAAGAACCCGCGATAGGTGAAATCCGTGAAGTAGAAACCTTTATTTTTTTTTACAGTTATCATACAATGAAATACTCCATACAATATTGAAATCAAGGAACAAAAACTTTTTACAGGCCCAAGCATTTGTTTAACAAATAAAAGTATGGTATAAACGTTGTTAACTACTGTAATGTACTGTAAAATAATATAATTATAAATAAATAAGTAATAATTTTAATCATCAATACGAAATGAAGGGTTGATATTGCGGGGATCAGCACCGCCCCGCCGTGAGGGATTGGAATGGGAGAAAATGAGAAATGATTATGAAAAAAAATACAAAGTACAGTAGGACAAATAGTGACTGACGTGTACAGTACAGTATTTCACTGGTGTTCTGACGGAGCCGCTGCATCCTGACTCTGCTCTGTGGCGTTTTTTTCTTCTAAAGCCTGTGGTGCAGGTGTGTGTTTTTGAGAGAAGAACATAGTTATCGGTAGTTGTTGTTGCTCTTTTTTCTTCTGGGCCAAAAGATCCTTATAAACCGACATGCCACCATCGATTATGTTTGACAATAAAGTTTAACAATGCATGATGCAAATCCGTGAAGCAGCGAGACCGTGAAAAGTGAACAGCGTTATAGCGAGGGTTCACTGTAATGTACTATTTAGATCAAGATATAAGAAGCATTATTTCTGCATAACATGGCATCAAATATCCTGTAGATATAAGTAGCCTATAATAATCTACTATTAATTAACACATTTAATTTCAAAACAAGCTCAGACTGCATGAATTAGCTCAAAGAGCAGAGTGTTCATGCACCTGTAACAGGTAACCTCCCCGTTACTGACGCATGATATGATAACTACATCATTTAATAATCATGTGACAGCTGAACACTGTGAAGTCACATTTCTAAAGTTCATACAGAAGTAAATGTTGTAACCATGCACATACCAGATAGTGAGGACTGGATACTGGATAAAAATGAAGGTTAAAAGAAGAACGCCCGAAACGTCACGGCATTAAAGAAATAGATACTCGCAGATAATGTAGTCACTATGTTAAATTAATTCATTAACTGTATTTTAATCAAAAACATCATAAAATAGCACAATATCACACCAAGATCCCCAATAAAACTGCTTTTCAGTTGACTGCAGGCCCACAAACGTCACCCACGGCAGAGCTCCCAAGTGCCACCTGGTGGTTGTCCGGGTACATTGCAGTTCTTTTTGAAATAAAAAAAAACTGGCCTCAGGAAATACATTGTGATTCACGCAGGAATCACACAGGAAACCGTCCATTTCCATACAGTATCCACTGTAAGTTAATTTATGCGTCAATAAACTGTTTCAGAGGAATGATCACAGCGCTCTGTGTCATCAGTGATGCCAGCTCCCAGGTTTGATTAATACTTTGTAATAAATACATCAATAAAGCACAAACATACTCAGTTTTGCTTCCGCTCTATTTTTAAATATGCAGTAGAACCCTGCAACTTTTAGATGTGTCTTTGTTTCAGCACACCTGAATCAAATAATTAGATGATTGAGAGGACTCTGGAGGAAGTGACTGCATACTAAGGCGGTAATTGAGCCATTTAATTCAGGTGTGTGGAGCAAGGATGGATCTAAATGTTGCAGGATACCGGCCCCCAGGAACTGGAATTGCCCACCCCTGCAGTAGAGGTATTTAAACGTAGTAGAGGATATTTACCAGTATATAAAACCCGCGCCCTATAATCCGGTGCGCCTTATGTGTGTGTTAAATATAATAATGGCACACATAACTAAGACTGCACCTTCTAGTACAGTGCGCCTTATGGTCGTGAAAATACGGTACGCCTACAAAACTGTGTGTCTGACAGGGTGGTCAGCAACACTGGTGCCCCTGAGGGGAAT